ACACAACTCTCTTTGCATTTTTGTTTATGACTTTCTTATTTCTAAAGTGTTGAAATTGTACATGTATCATCTCAAACCTGGAGTTTTCTCTCATGCACTATTTACTGTAGAGCTTTTTTCCTTCCTGTCATAAGTATAGAAAAAAGAAAAACCACAAAGTTGAGGTAGTGAGTTTGAGGCTGAGTTTGACGTTTTGTTGTCATTTAGTTATGGTATTCTGTTATTTGTAAACCATTGAAAGGTAATAAATTAACTTAATGTGTTTACCTGTGTGTTTATTTCACTGAAGTAATTGTTTTTACAGTTAATTTTTTGCATACAGTTTCATTTGTTTTGTAACTTGATCCTAAGGTGGGCCAACAAGGCACATTAGACATCATGCTTTTGTACTATTATAAACATAACTGTGCTGTCTCCATTATGTTTTTCAACACACATTAGATATGTTATATGTATGTCATCAATACGTTTTATGTGTAAAATAGAATGAGATAAATGGTATCTATTTATATCAGTTTAATACTTTGGACGATTACTTTCCTGAACCATTTTATTCAGCAGTTGCTCCAACATACACGTTCTTAAGCCAACTATTCCTACCTGCGTCAACACTGACTACCAGTTGGCCAGTACACAACATATGTGTAAAGATGTAGTAAATGGCTATGTTATGTAGTGGTTTTTATTGTGTTATAAATCATAAGTTGACCAAAAATATCAAATATATGTTTCAAAATGTGAAATAACTATCATGTTGTGTATTTGAAATGATGTCTTTCAGTTTTGGAGATACTTATGAGTTGTTAATGCTTGTTCATAAAAATGTAAAGTGGGCACAATATCATACATCAGCAGCAAAAGGGTCAAATTTCCACATAAATGGTCAAGTTCTCTCTGGCTTCTTGCCTTCAAGGTTTAAACTTGGTCTTATAGACTGATTGGCTCTCTACAGGGTCAAATATTTGGCTCATCCTGGTAAGAACTGTATTACAATGATTAAATCACACTTCATCCAAATGCTGTATTGGCAGCAAACTCTGGACTGTCTCAGCATCAGGTATTGCACCACCTGTATCCAAGCTCATCAGTCCCAAGCAACACGTTATTTGGAATGATTGATAATGGTTCTGATCCTCCTTTGCCTTCTCCTTAAACAATGATGAGTTTACTTGTTTTATCTCACCATCAAAAGGTGTGCATAGTTTCCAACTGTCAATTTATTTATAACACTTTGGACCAGAATGTTCTTGGGAGCTCCTTAGCTTCTTCTTGAAGTCTAGAGATTTGTGCATTATGATGAATGTGGCTAAGTTGTCAGTTGGAGAATAAAAGTACATACCATCATTGCAATGGTAATGATGTGATTTGTGAAACTATGTTTGTTGTCTCATCCCATACTGTCCTTGTCCACTGGGCATAGTTTTGGAGTGTACCTTTCTGGCCATGAAAGCTCCTGACTAACTCTTAATGCTGTTGGGTTGTAACAAAATGGTCAGCTGGTGCCATTATGATGAAATGTGCCAAACTGCATCCAGTGAGTGCATCTCATCACTCTCCAAGGACATTGGTGACTCCACACAGTGCCTTATGATGCTGGAACTTGTACACAAGCAATTTGGATCTGAAGATGTTCAGGCCACACTCAATGTTAATGTAACCCTTCATTACTGCCCTCTGCTCCTGTATATGGGGTTTGACCATTTGAGGTTATCCAGTACACTTCAACCTCTTGGTCCCAAAGATGATTCGAGTGTGCTGACATTGTTCTAGAACCTGAACCTCAACTTCCTCATCTTTGCTGTAAGTTTTATTTGGTCTCAGAAAGTTACCTTTCATCATAAAATTATTTACAAACTTTATTGTACCATAGTCAACAGAAAAAGAAGCATGTTCATACTGAACTCAACAAAAACAAATCCTATGGTCTGGCACTAAAATGTAAACTTTCAACTAGTCCGTGGTTCTTATGTTTACTGATGTCCAATAGAAAAGCTAAAAGTTTCCACAAAATGCAGGTTAGGACTCTTAAACAAAGACAGTAAATGAAAACAAGCAAATACAAGTGAATGTTGAAACACAAAATTGTTTATTAACAACTATAGCGTTCTGTTACCAAAATTAGCCAGACTTCTTGTGTGTCATCCAGCTTCTTGGGTTGAAAAACTGCAAGACAAGAAATGAAAATCAAGAGACAGAACTGTGGAAATACTTTGCTTAAATATGCTGGCAAAACAAAGAAAGTTGGATATTCTATAAGTAACCTATTTTTACCAATGGTCTGCACACAGTTTTAAGCAAGCCACCAGTACAGGTTTTGGTATTACCTATATGAATAGGCTATATTCCACAAACTTCCTTCAGAAACTCAATTGTGTTAACTTGAGACCTAGAACTAAGGTTGCAGTATATAGCCTTTACCTATATGATAAGATTAGCATATGTTTACGAACACAAAATTCTGGTCAGTGAGAATATCTTAACTACATGTAGAAACTGCAGGGAAAAAAATGTTATGTCAATATATCTAAATAGAGATATATTTAGTACCAATAATGGAAGGGTGAAATTCATGACTATTCTAACCATTACAAACATTTAGGACTGTCTAACAAACCATTGATATTTTCAACCGTACATGTTCGTATATAATGAAGCTTGTTCATATGGAAATGAAGCTTGTTAATACTTAGTAAGATTGTTAAAAGTGTAATCCATCATGTGCGAACTGAAGAGGGAGCAAAAAGTTAGATTTGCTGTAGATAACATGTAACACTTGCTAGGTTATTTAGTTAATATGAAAAATATGCTAATGTCATAGTTTTTTAAGAGCAGTACAGTGTCAGTTTTTCTCTGAACTCTTATGTTCTAAGTGGTTCTATCTTGTGCAGTAAGAAAATATTTTGAAATTCAGCCATACTACATTTAGCACTAATATTTGAATAGCATCCCTGAATAGGATAGACAAAGTCAGTGAAATGTATTATGCTTAATTCCGAAAAGATATCTTACATCTGCTCACAAAGTAGTTTTGTCAGTTAGTACTGTCCTCTACTGATGCAAATTTTCAACACTTGCTACTAGCCTTCCACATCCTGTTCTGCATATCCACATGCAAATGATCATGCAGCAGCCTTCCATCAATAGGAGCACGATACAACCTTTATCTTAACCAGCACCCTCTTCACGTGCATTCGTTACTCACTTCTCATTTGGCAGTAGTACTGTACAGACATGTTGGTTTTTGCTTACGGATTTGTTTATGTTTTTTTTAATATTACAGACTTAGTTTTTCTTTACTATTTATTTAAATTTTCATGTTTTGGAATTGTGAAAGGTTGCTTTTTTCAACTTTTCTTACCTTTTTAGGGCCTTTTTTGTATCGTGGATCCCACTCCGCGGCAAGTGGTGCCTGACCAGGTATATTTTTTTTTTTGTGAAATTCTGCAGTGTCCATCCTATGACCATGCTTGATATCAATTATGTTGTAGCCATTCCAACCTTGGACCTGATGTATAATTCCAGATGGTACTAGATGCTGGTTGTGTGTCTCCATTCAATTGTTATCTATGCCTAAATTACATCGCAGGATTGAGTTATGCACACTAGAGATGGGGTGTTTTATAGGACTGTGTCAAAATAAAGGGCTTATTCTTCTTAATATTATGTACAATAGTAGTATTTATTAAGTAGGTTGAATAATAT